GCCAATTTAAACTGTTCGTGATTACTAAATTGGCAATGATTTAGTGACCAGGTTTCACATCAAATAAATTGAGAACCACTTACGCTGCTTAGGAAATAACATCTATAAACGTACACTGACCTCTCGAAGTTGACCTTTCGTGAGGTTAAATTTACCGCTGGCGGAACCCCAATATTGATGAGTTCAAAATTGATAAATGCTAAGCCGCAACGCATCGAGCTCAGTCTTAATCATTGCTAAGCAGCAGCCGAGCGAGTTCGGGCTTAATCATTGCTAAGCAGCAGCTGAGCGAGCTCAGGCTTAATCATTGCTAAGTAGCAGCTGAGCGAGCTCAGATTTTATCATTGCTAAGCAGCAGCTCAGCGAGCTCAGATTTTATCATTACTAAGTAGCAGCTGAGCGAGTTCAGTCATAATCATTGCTAAGCAGCAGTTCAGCGAGCACAGGCTTAATCATTGCTAAGTAGCAGCTGAGCGAGCACAGGCTTAATCATTGCTAAGTAGCAGCTGAGCGAGCTCAGGCTTAATCATTGCTAAGGATTTAATAATAAATACCGTGTTCGATATCATCGACGATATGACCGTCGTATGGAACGAGGCAGGTTGCCATATTCTGCGGTTCAACATTCAAGTCTTGGTTGTGTTTATCGGGAATGCGTGAAAAATATTAGTCATTTATTTAATTCCCTATTTTCATTTATTCAATTTTTAGACAATTGGATATTATATTATATTTTTGAGCATGATGTCTCATTGTCTGCTTTAAGGCGACTTTTTATGGGAATGGTTGCTTATAGGATGCCTTTCTTTAAACGAGAGGCGTCCTATCCTATCGTAATTTTACGTGCGAACAATATTTAAATTTTACTCTAGATTTAGTGTATGCACACAGAAAAGATATATTACAAATGAATATTAATTTATTATTATGCATATTTGATTTAATTCCTCTGAATATCCTGCATTAATTATTTCATTATTCTTAACGGAGCAAGTGGCGGGACAGGTGACGGAATTCGATGCTGTGGTCGAGTCTTGTGCCGTAAACCAGGCAGGCTTTTGATAATAATTATTATCCAGCGCCAGGGATCATCAGCTGCGGACAACCCGCCAACCTTACCCTGACTGCCAGTGCAGTTACCGCACTTGTGCTATTGCCGTCGCGGGCTGCCGTATGGCTGAGGCTAACTACTTCCAGGATATTGTCTAAATGAAGATATAAAAACCGTCCCGTTCATTGGCTCTTCATTTGAAGGCTGTTACTAACTGGGAATTGCAAATATATATTTTAATCATATATGTATTTATATATATTGAAGGCATTTCCTTACTGCTCTGGTTAAAGATTACTGCCTTACATTAGGAAATTATGCATGGCGTGTAATCTCTTGATATATAATAAGTATTTATATGTTTATACGAGTAGATGCTTAATATTCCCAGCATAGTTCCGTAGCAAACACTTAAAATTTAACTTCTAGGTTCTTATTTTTACACGGGTTGTTATTACCGTTCTGGGGAGCAAAATAGGCAGGAGCTCTCATAGTTGACATTAAGATTAATTTATTTCACTCAAAGGTTGCAAATTATATGAAATATATTCTCTAAATTCTCTAAAAATACAGCGGTAAAACGGTTGAATGTGTGCCTTTGCCCTGTGAACGATCAGCAATGAACGTAAGTCTTTATATGATGAACAGCTGTGGTTGTGATGGTGATGACACGGTGATTGTGCTGGTGATGTGTGGTGATGACAGGTATTTGGGGAGCTTCAGGTGGTGCGGGAGTGTGGTGATGGTGTCAGGTGGTGCGGGAGTGTGGTGACGGTGGTTGCATAAGTGGTGTAGGGGTGCGTAGGGTTGCATGAGTGGTGTAAGGGTGCGTTGGGTTGCATGAGTGGTGTAACGGTGCGTTGGGTTGCATAAGTGGTGTGAGGGTGCGTTGGGTTGCATGAGTGGTGTAAGGGTGCGTTGGGTTGCATAAGTGGTGTAAGGGTGCGTTGGGTTGCATCAGTGGTGTAAGGGTGCGTTGGGTTGCATAAGTGGTGTAAGGGTGCGCTGGGTTGCATAAGTGGTGTAAGGGTGCGTTGGGTTGCATAAGTGGTGTAATAAGAGGCCACAGAGGCCAGAGGCCATGATACGCTCACAATGCGCAGTGATAGGCGTGACGTGTCGGCCTGTGAGTAACAATGCGTCTGTAACTCTGATGTATAGCCTTTCATTTAGCTCCCCATTCAACTCCCATTATTCTTAATGCCCTGAGATGAACCTTACCAAAGTAGAAACTAATCATTAGCAACTTATTATTTCTTATTCTTTTTTATCAAGCATGAGGCTAATCTAATCGCACTGCAGAGCTCATTAGATGCATATAATTGACACCGTCGGATTTATTTGACAAGGAAAATTGCAGCAAATAGTTCAGTGAGTCGAAATCTTCAAGCAAATTTCTCTATTTAACTAGACCCGAAAGCTTTAAATTTAAAGTGTCAATAAATACCATCGTCTGATTTTATTTTATTGCAGTGCAGAAAATATTTTCTCAAGATATCGATAAAGTATCAGGAATCGAAAGTTGAACTCTCAAAGAAGTAATCATTAACTCACTCTAAGATGTTTAGATTTCAGCTACATCATTTTTCAGGTTCCTTGATTTAATAATACTTTTTCTCCAATATCAACCAGCAGAGCCTTCGTTGAGTATGTTTGTTGGGCGGGAAAACAATGTTTCTTGCAGACGACTCATTACAATACTTATGATCAGACAACTTATTGATATTTAAATTTAAGAAGTAACCAAGTAATTTTGCAAAGCATATTCATGAGAATTGATATTCTTTAAATTCTTAAATGCAATATGCATTTAATATTATATATTAAGAAAGCAATATTATTAAGCTTAAATGCAATATGAGAGCTGGAGATAAGAAGTTCGCACTGCACCTTCTAATTTCGCGGCGGCAATTTATTTCTTCACACGGAGGACTTTACTGAGACAATATAGACGTGTCATTCATCACTAGCACCTGTCGCTTAGTCGACAGAGACTTACATGAAAACTATGCATGAGCTATCGGTGGCCGCTTGTGTACCGATGATGCGCCATTCCTGATACGCTGATGATTCAGAGGAGAGTTGATGATGATGAAAAGGACAGACAGTGCAGAGGTCAATGATGAACTCCGTGCCCTCATCAAGTGGCCTTATAATGAACGGCGCGGTCCAGCCTTCAGGCGCTGCCGCCTGTCGTTCCTTCAGGTATCAAATGAACGTCCAGGCAAAGCCTTTATTACAACAATCATTTAATGTCTTGCTGTAACATTCGTGTATTAAGAGGTGGCCGAAAGTTTTATTTGCACTTACTTATACTCTTGATTTAGTGGCAGCATAGTTATCAAAAAGATTTTACTTGAGATAGAAATGAAATAATTACCTGGGATTTCTGAAGCTGCCTAACCAATGTGTGCGCATTAGAAAAAAATACAAAACTGTACCCAAATATTTTGAGACTTCCAGTAGCCGCAATCCATAAGAGTTTTGTAAAGGGTGGTGATTGGTGGACGGATTTACGACATCGTAAGTTTATCTGAGAATCCTGCCCCAAAAGACGACATTCTCGTCACGTCGCCGGCCTCGCGGTACGCGCGGAGCATCGACAATCAGGCGCTGGGAAGCCCACCTAGCATTTTTCTAGTAATTTTTCTAGTAATTTTTCTAAAATTCATTCTTCGCCTCCGTAAAGGTACTGGGTGATCTATCAAATATGACTTTATTTTTATTGAACTCGTAGGGCAGTCATTATGTATCTGGATGAAATTAATGGGCGTTAGGGCGGCATTATTGGTGGCATGAATGAATGCCTAGAGAATAAAGCCATCCGGAATGTAACTGCAATTCCACAGAGCATGAGTTGTTAGGAGTAGATGTGGATGCAATGTATTGATTAAAATTTCTTACAAAGAAATGAAACTCCTACTTATGTAATTAAAATTCAAGCATAAAGGCATACAATTTACTTATATATAAAATGATCATATTACGTCAAAATTAAGTAAAAAGATATCTTCAGGACTTATTACAGATAAGCTATTGGCATGCATATCTCATCACAATAGTTAATTTTTAAAGCGTTGATACCTTACAGTTACTTTATTATCGTAAAAATCATATATATGTCATTACTACACCATTACTGCGGGCAAATTTTTATACGCAGCTTCTGGAACCTCAGTTGAAATGTAACCATTTTAGAGAGTAACTATAGTTCAGTTGAACTCTTAATTTTTGTAATGTCTCGGGGCATTTTACTTACCTTGCGATCGCTTGAATTGAGTACGCACCTTCTTTTGCAATTATTTGGACGAAATATTCGTTAGGATATCGCACAATGCCCAATTCCAGAGCGTTAATTACCGACCTTGGAAGTTCGTGAACAAACAATGGTCTTTTAAGAACCTGGCTTGACAATTAACATATTCTAGTGCTTCAGTATATATAAGAATAATGGTTTAGTCTGCGCAGAATTCTGGAAACGTGCAAGGCGAGGCGGTACCGAATTAATTTGCGACCAAGAAACGAGGAGGGACTCACAAGATTGTACTTCATAGCATTCGTTTCAGCCATTGCTATGCGCGGCGACTTGCCCTGTGCAAACGATGCTGTTGTAGGAGCATCCGACGGTGCTTGGGTGAGGTAGGGGTAGAACGGAGTTAATTAATTCAGCCAAGTTATATGTCTGAAATATTTTCAATCTTGCCATCATCTCATTTAAACATTGTTAATCGACACATATTTAAAAAATATTATTAACAAGCCATATTGCCACATTATAAGTGAACCGAACATACATTCTTATAACCACTCGTTTTTAACTGTAAGTTTTGAACATCTACATGGCGAATTATAAAATTCCACTCAATGTACCCAAAAAATTTTCTAGCAAATGAAATAATCTTTTCCAAAGCTCAATTATAATAATAATAATGAGATGAAATAAACACAGATGCTGCCGGTTAACTGCCATGAAATCTTGGTCGCCTCGCAACCTCGGCCTACGAACCTCGGCCTACGAACCGCCGCCGTCGCTGGAGGAGATCAAAAGAACCCACACAAGCTTCTGAGGTACCCTACGCAGCCGGACCCTATGCGAACGGACCTCAAACCGCCGAGGATCCCAAGACGCCGAAGACCTCAAGCAGCCGCGGACCTCAAGCAGCCGCGGACCTCAAGCAGCCGCGGACCTCAAGCAGCCACGGACCTCAAGCAGCCGTGGACCTCAAGCACCGCGGACCTAAAGCAGACGCGGACCTCAAGCAGCCGCGGACCTCAAGCAGTCGCGGACCTCAAGCAGCCGCGGACCTCAAGCAGCCACGGACCTCAAGCAGCCGCGGACCTCAAGCAGCCGCCGACCTCAAGCAGCCGCGGACCTCAAGCAGTCGCGGACCTCAAGCAGTCGCGGACCTCAAGCAGCCGCGGACCTCAAGCAGCCGCCGACCTCAAGCAGCCGCCGACCTCAAGCAGCAGCATCTTATGTCCTTATGCGGACCTCAAGCAGCCGCCGACCTCAAGCAGCCGCCGACCTCAAGCAGCAGCATCTTATGTCCTTATGCCAAGTTTAGGACGTCATCGTTTATGGTCACGCTGATGCGCGCACGGTTCCACAGATGCGTTTATGGTCACCTTGATGCGCGCACAGTCATGCTGATGATTTTTATGGTCACACTGTTGCGTTTATTGGCACGCTGATGCGTTTATGGTCACGCTGATGCGTATTCGTTGATAAGAAGAAGGTCTCTCTGCCACTGGGACCCGTTGGAAACATTGAACGTGGCTACCGTTCGTGTATGCCCTAGCCACTTGCAACACGGGCATCTGCACTACTAAATGAATTTGCCTAAGTGCAGCAATGAGATTCTGATTACGGTTACGGACGGACGAGACTCACTGCAAGTAATTCACAGTAAAGACTTGACCGAAGACTGACCGTAAACCCAACAACTCCAGTGTCAACCTCTCAAGCTATTCAACACCTTCACCATTATTATTGTCATCGGCAACTTGTTCCATAAACTACAAAGATAATTTAAGCGATGAAAATAATAGTACATATAAAAACAAAAAAACGCATAAAGAGTACAATCATATTTATTTTCAAATAGTACTCTTAATATACAGACATATTGTGAATACTGAACAACAATATTCACTCCCTTGCTCTCCCATTCAACCATCAAAAGCTCTGACTGCACGATACCATCCATCTCCCCTCTCCACCTACTAGTGTTGGGTGCTACAGGCTGTAATTTGTAAATTTTTCTGGAGAGATTAAGATAACCACTCTGAGCACTCTAACATGATATTTTTAAAAATACATCATACAGTAAAAATACATCATAAAAATAGATCATATTTATAACATCTAATCATAACTGACGCGATATGAAGATCAGGGAAGATAATTCATAGTATGTACAAAATGTTACTAACATATACTAAATTATTCAATGGTTATAAGCGGTTACGATCGATCGGTTGCTTGCAAGACGCGCTAGTGAGGCATTTTCGCCTATATATAAACGAATAAATTAATATGGAACACCGGAATATTCGAATATTATTGCAAGCTGAAACATGTACGATTTAACCGCTTCAGCTGATATAGAGCACTCATTCTACATTGTTTATACTATATAGTTCCGTAAACAACTTCTGCAATGGCAGGACCAGAAGAGAGTGAGATTCCTCAAGATTTTCTTGCTCTGAAGGCAGCCGGGGATTATCCTGCGTTCATTGCAGCGTTGAAGCAATTCGTCTCGAAATAACAACAAAAAATGATTCATAACTCAACACAACCTGCTGCAGGCATCTGCTTAGCATTACTCGCTCTCATGCCATATAATTTGGACGCTAAAAACACAAGTGGTTGTAAGTAATTATAATTAGTGTGTTTACAAATGGGCCACGGCTGAACTGTGCCATTGACAACTGATTGATTGTGTTTACAAATGTGCTACGGCTGAACTGTGCCAGTGACCACAGATTGTGTTTAAAAGGTGCTACGGTTGCACTGTACCATTGAAAACTGATTGTGTTTACAAATGTAACACGGCTGAACTGTGCCACTGCTAAATTATCAAGCACGAAGAACATTGTGCTCATGTGTCTCTGACGGAGAAAAAATCATGGACATAACTAATAAAAAGTTGGTCTCTCCATGCAGGACAAGGAGAAGATGGACAGGTTCACATTAAGTTTTTTAAAAATCTAACTCTGATTTCTAGACAATTTTTTGTATAATATCAATAATACATGGCTATCTATAATGATCATAATATTTAAGTTTAATTTAATATTGTTCTTATTATGTTGTAATATTTTAGCATTTTATTCGTGCTGAGGCGCTGCGTTAATAACAGCCATGAATAACTGTTTAGGCAAATTTTGTGGCTCACTTTGGTATATTTCAATTAGCAGTTCATGTTTTATATATTTTATACCAGTAACCGTAAACAAGTCGAAATCTTTAGTTCACAGTTAAAAAAAACGGATTGTTTGATCTAATGTTTGAAAATGACTATGTTATGAGATATCGTCATCCTACCAGCACTCATGAGTCATGATACATTATCAAAGCTCATATAATCAAATGGAGATTTTCTCTCGCTATTCTAACCTAGAAGATCACCGAGGCGTGCTTGAGAAGCTCCAGTGATAGCCGTAGCGATCAGAAATGCTCATGCTATTTGAACTCCCTGACCTCTGCCACCAGACGCTGGATCAGCTCAAACTTTCAGTTCATTTATCAAATGGGCCCCCCAACGACATTTAATTAAGCATTTATCAAGGAAAAGTTATATATGAGAAGTCTATATATACATGTGTTTTTATCGACTAGATCACACCATAAGCTTTCACTAAATATTGGGATATTAAAATTATAATACACGAATACAGATTTGCCAAATGGGCCACATTCTATCAATGAAACAAGGAGATGTGTGGTTAAATATCTTGATTTTTCTATAGACCTGGGTAATTCCTCTACATTATAAAGCTAAATCTCTGATGTAGCAAATAGAATCCAAATGCTTAAACTAATGCCGCCCATACATATTTATTTGAAACCTTTAACTTAGACCTCACTTGCCTGGTTACGTAGCGCGAGGTCCCGGATGGTAAAGTTCTGTATGACCATCGCGTTGCGTAATCGACAGCTGCTTTCCTGTGTCTGGTGTTGAATACTTGAGGAAGTCTGGTGGTATTTCCCACTCGATCGTCAAACTTTGTGGTACCTCCCACTCGATTATGAAACTTTGTGGTACCTCCCACTCGATCATGAAACTTTGTGGTACCTCCCACTCGATCGTGAAACTTTGTGGTACCTCCCACTCGATCATGAAACTTTGTGGTATTTCTCACTCGATCATGGAACTTTGTGGTACTTCCAACTCGATCGTGAAACTTTGTGGTACCTCCAACTTGATCACGAAACTTTGTAGTACCTCCAACTCGATCGTTAAACTTTGTGGTACCTCCAACTCGATCATAAAACTTTGTAGTACTTCCAACTCGATCGTGAAACTTTGTGGTACCTCCAACTCGACCATGAAACTTTGTGGTACCTCCAACTCGATCATGAAACTTTATGGCATTTTCCACTCGATCATGGAACTTTGTGGTACCTCCAACTCGATCATGAAACTTTATGGCATTTCCCACTCGATCATGGAACTTTTGGAAAGTACCAAATACTCTAGAAATCATCAGTGTGTCGGGAATGAACCGTTGGCGGAACATGGGTGTTGGAATATGAGCCATTGTTCCTCCAATGACTATTCATGCAAGCTTTTTTAAAAACGGGCAGTTTTTCGTAATGATCTGGTCAAGATGCTTCACTCCTGCCTGCAACCTGGAATCGAAACATCGCAAACGAGGCTTTTTTATTTATTAAGTGCTTGACTTACACTATATTTGCTGCCTTTTACATAACTGCTATATCGAGGCTAGATAAATAGTAAATTTGATGCTACTCCTTATAACGCAATGACACACATATGTAAAAAATCTAACCCACCAAAATTCTATTCTAATATTATTTCTGATCGTTTTCTGAGATGATCGTTTCCGATCGTTTTTTCACTATTTCCCTGTAAAACTTGTGAGCGCCACTTTCCAAGTTTTGCACAGGACTGAGTTTCGCAAATGAGTGACAATGGACTGAAATGAGCCTAAGTTTCCTGTTTTGTTAGTTCAAGAATTATTATTCAGGTTTAATTAACATCTGAGAGCAGTCGGGTGAAAGTTTTTCTAATGCATTAATATAGCATGAAATAATATTATGAGTGCCTATGCCGACCTTCAACGTTTCTTGCAATCACGGTATATGGCAGTAAAACACACGGCTGTAGTATGGCTGTCGCAGTGCACCGTGACCTGATTCCAATAGAGAATATTATATTCAATATTATATATTTACGTCTGCCAAACGTGCTAAATGTAAGATCGCATCTATATGATGCACGTATGTAGTATGCATTATATATCTTTGTTTGATAATTAAATTATACCTAAGAGTCGTTGGCGAAGTAGTCGTGCAGTATAAGTGTTGAAATGAGTTATGTGTACGTCGTGACAGTACTTCATAATATGCATCTCTTCACTAACCGACCCGAAGATACGCGAAGTTCTTGCTTCGTTTCTAGCAGCGGAGAAATCGAAGAAGTATCCTGCGTAACCCGTCCAGGAATGTTGTGACGACAGATGGACGAGACTGCTGCTCTCTGCCCTCCGAGGACGATAGCAGAATTTTAATGACACTTTCGACGATCAGGGAAGGTGTGGATGGGGCTAGCGAGGCGACACAAACCTCAATGGAAGTAACACTATATATTTTAGTCACTAACATTGATGTAAAGGCAAGCTGCTGTAAGCTCGTACCAACCAGGATTACTGGCCATTTCGTGCCCACTAACTGATGCTTGAGACCTTTGATCCTCACTTGAAGATCGAATTGGAATAAACACTCGGTAATGGTTTTAACAAGTTACTCCTGGGACATGTAGACGCTAAAGCTTGCTTTAACAATCCTCTGCGCGTCTTCAAGCTTCAATAGAGATTTACCTGGAATTAGAGTCTCTTTGATGCTTCAAAAGAGATGAAACTGACCTTCCTTTCCTCACAGGGATTCAATTTAGTCCCTTTGGTACAGACTGCGCTATCAGCCACTCAATCTGAGGTTTACCTTCCAAGGCAGACCATACATACGGCGAGTCTGACGTAAGAGCTGATGTCTTGTGACGACCTGACGACGCTTTTCACGCACCTTCTGATGTCGTTAGTAGCTCGTCGTGCCATTGAAAGGGTCTGCTTGGTCGGCAGCATAGAAACATCATTTTCTGCTTTTGATACGCTCAGCTGCCAGGGATCATGCCTCGTAGTGAAGTGCACTATAAGATTAGGCACAGAATGACCTCCACTTCACGGGGTCGTATCGTTTTCATTTTTTTTTGTAAAATCCATTGGTTTTAGTCAGAAAAAATATGGTTTAAATAAATTATTATCTTATTATATGATCCTAAATGGCCAAGTCTCTTGATTTTGTTCGTTTATGATCAACAAAAGCTGAATTAATTCATGAAGGTATAC